AAAAAAAAAAAAAAGAAGCACTGCTCTAGCGGTAGCAGAGGAGCTTTACAGATGGAATGTTGGTCTATAAACAACCACATGATGCAAGCACTTGCTCTCCTGTGACTCCTGCAAAACTTTCTATCTTCAATAAGCAGCTGAATCTTAGCCAGGCATGGTGGCTCATGCCTGTAATCCCACCACTTTAGGATGCTGAGGCAGGTGGATCACCTGAGGTTGGGAGTTCAAGACCAGCATGACCAACATGGAGAAACCCCGTCTCTACTAAATGTAAAAATTAGCCGGGTATGGTGGCACATGCCTGTAATCCCAGCTACTCAGGAGGCTGAGGCAGGAGAATCACTTGAACCTGAGAGGTGGAGGTTGCGGTGAGCTGAGATTGTGCCATTGCACTCCAGTCTGGGCAACAAGAGAGAAACTCCGTCTCAAAAACAAACACAAACAAACAAAAAGAAATACTTAAAAAAATATTTTAGGAGACCGGGTCTTACTCTGTTGCCCAGGCTGGAGTGCAGTGGTGCAATCATGGCGCACTGTAGCCTTGAACTGCTGGGCTCAAGTGATCCTCCTTCATCAGCCTCCCAAATAGTTAGGACTACAGGTGTGAGCCTCCATGCCTAGCTACTGTTTTTTAATTTTTTCCTGTAGACACAAGGTTTCTGTTACCTAGGCTGTTCTCAAACTCCTGGCTTTAAGCCATTCTCCTGCCTCAGCCTCCCAAAGCACTGGGATTACAAGCATGAACCACCATACTTGGCCAGGAACTATAGGCAAACTATTATTCTAGGTTTTAGAATGTGTGTGTGTGTGTGTGTGTGTGTGTGTGTGTGTATGATCCCAAATTATTATTATTATTATTTGAGACAGAGTCTCACTCTGTCACCCAGGCTGGAGTGCAATGGTGTGATCTCAGTTCACTGCAATCTCTGCCTCCCAGGTTCAAGTGATTCTCCTTCCCCTGCCTCCCAAGTAGCTGGGATTACAGGTGCATGCCACCACGCCTGGTAATTTTTTGTATTTTTAGTAGAGCCAGAATTTCACCATGTTGGTCTTGAACTCCTGACCTCAGGTGATATTCCTGACTTGGCCTCCCAAAGAGCTGGGATTACAGGCATGAGCCACCACACCTGGTAGGGCTTATAATTTATAATTTAGGCCGGGTGTGGTGGCTCAAGCCTGTAATCCCAGCACTTTGGGAGGCCGAGGCGGGTGGATCACGAGGTCAAGAGATCGAGACCATCCTGGTCAACATGGTGAAACCCCGTCTCTACTAAAACTACAAAAAATTAGCTGGGCATGGTGGCGCGTGCCTGTAATCCCAGCTACTCAGGAGGCTGAGGCAGGAGAATTGCCTGAACCCAGGAGGTGGAGGTTGCGGTGAGCCGAGATCGCGCCATTGCACTCCAGCCTGGGTAACATGAGTGAAACTCTGTCTCAAAAAAAAAAAAATTTATAATTTAGTAGTGAGACAAGAGAAAAACATAGGAATATTAAAACTATAGGTTCTCTAAGAAAGTGTAGTGATATTTGTTGATTTTTGTTTTATTATTTGTTGGCAGTCCTTGGTAGACAGAATAACATTTCTACAGATTTGTCCATGTCTTAATCTCCTGACTCTATGAATATGTTTGTTGTCTTCTAAAAGGGACTGGCTGTGATTAAGGATCTTAAAATGAAAATAGTATCTGAAATTATCCAGTTGGGGCTAATGTAATCACGAGGGACTTTTTTTTTTTTTTTTCCAGTTAGTAAGGAGATAACTTTATTTATATAGGGATAGATAGTTGCTCTGATGTTGGTTTGAGAACTTCAACTCCAAGAGCAGGTTCTCTTTTAATTCAAGGCCAAGCTTGTAAATTAAGCTACCTTAAAGAAGAAAGAAGCGTTGCAGAAAACGGAAGGGAATGGGAAAAAATAAACACATGGTGGCTAATGCCTGTGATCCCAGCACTTTGGAACGCCAAGGCACGCCGGAGGATCCCTTGAGGCCAGGAGTTCAAGACAAGATAGGCACATAGCAAGACCCCTTAACTACTTAAAAGAATTAACTGGACATGGTGATGCACATCTGTAGTCCCAGCTACTTAGGAGGCTGAGGTGGGAAAATCACTTGAGCCCAGGAGTTGGAGGCTGCAGTGATCTATGATCACGCCACTGCACTCCAGCCTGGGTAACAGAGCAAGACCCTGTCTCAGAAAAATTAAAAAGTGAGCAGCAGTGCAAATATCATTGGGAATTTCTTAGCCAAAACCAACTTTGGCAGTTTGGTTAGAGGAAAAAGTCTCTCTCTGATTGTTTCACTTTTATCCCTAAATAGGTTTCATTTATCCTTGGTATCTGTGTTTTAAAACAAAAAAACCCCACAATCTTGGACTTATGTCAATTTAGTAATCATTTTGGGGGTGCTTTGTCTCAGGGCTAATTTTAGGACAAGTTCTCTTTTCAGAAAGAGAAACACTGTGTATGACTAGTATCCCTTTTGCATATAATCACTTTGTGGGATGGTAGATAGTTCTAGGTTAGGAGTTCCCAAGCTCTAGTCTACTTTGAACACTCTTCAGACTTTAGTAGGAAGTTAGCCTTTTTCTAGGAACAAAGTGGGTGCCCAGGAACAAATTCAGGTATGTTTGGTCAAGATAGGCCTGCTCAAATCAATGCAAATGGCAACTAAAAGGGACAGCCAAGGTTGTCACATAGTGATCAAGATGCACCGTCTACCAGTTACATAGATAGAAAAGTTCACTTTCATGCAGTTGGTTCAGTCCTTTGGGGTTAAAGGCAGATAAACAGTGTCTTCCTTACTGAACAGGCCTGTTAAGTGATACCTTGGAAGCTGACTTTTGCTTTCCTTTTATTTCAGTTAGCATCAGAAACTCACTGTTATAGATCTTTGGGCTCTAGAATTCATTGGGCTAGATCTTTCCCAATTCTGTCTTCAGAAGAGTGTATTATTAAGAAATGCTTAAGCGTCCATTTTTTTTAGGTGACTGAGAAAAGCAGGAACATTAGTGTTCACAGTAAGAAAATACTGTCATTGTGATTCCACGCGTTCAGAGTACCCCTTTTCCAGAATGAGTTACTCAGCTGTGTGGGAATGGCTCTTGTTCATCCAGCTTTGGCAAAGGGATATTACCTGGAGGGGTCACAAAGTACTCCTCTACGACATGATGGGAGCTTTGTAGTAATTCATCAGCACAGTTGCCTTCTACTACATTGCTGGATCTCGGGTATAGACATCTGTCCTCCAGGACCGACTCTATGGGCTCCACCCCGTCGGTGTCCACGGCGCGTAGGTGGTCGGCGACGGCGATAGCTTTCTCCAGCCGCGCTGCTGCCTCCCGGCTGCCGAAGTCCACAAGTGCTAGACGCTCCAGGTGCTTGATCGCCTCGGCCGTGATGCGGCCACTGCCCTGAGGATCTGTCTTGGAGGTGAAGCTCCAGGGCCAGCCCAGCGGGGCCTGAAGTCCCAGCCACAACGCCCGCGCCCACATTTCTTCCTTCCTTGGCCCCCGTAGTGCCCACAAGGGACTTTCTAAAAGGAAGGAAGAGGTCAGTCAGAGAAGGTGTTATGGCAACTCAAGCAGGGGTTGGAGTGATGCTGTGGCTGAAGTAGAGCCAGGAGCCTAGGAATGCGGACAGCATCTAGGATCTGGGAAGGGGAAGGAATAGATTCACCCTCAGCGACCGATCGCTGTAATCCTAGCACTTTGGGAGGCTGAGGCAGGCGGATCACTTGAGGTCAGGAGTTCAAGACCAGTCTGGCCAACGTGGCAAAACCCCATCCTACTAAAAATACAATAATTAGCCAGGCGCGATGATGTGTGCCTGTAATCTCAGCTACGTGGGAGGCTGAGGCACGAGAATCGCTCGAACCCAAAAAGTGGAGGTTTCAGTGAGCTGAGATGGCACCATTGCACTCCAGCTTGGGTGACAAAGTGAGACTCCACCTGAGAAAAAAAAAAATCACCCTCAGAGCCTCTAGGAGGAATGCAGTCCTGCCAACACCTTAATGTTAAGACCATTCTCAGACTTCTGACCACTCAGACTGTAAGATAATAAACTTATGTTGCTTTAAGCCACGAGGTTTGTGATAATTCATTATGGCAGTCATGGGAAACAGCCATAATAAAACATAAAATCATTTGATAGGAAGTGGTGATTGTATGAGAAGGCTTTCAGTTTATGTGAAAAAGTTAGCATTAAATGGAGACTTTAAAGTTGGACAGGATTTCTAATGGCCAGGTGAGGAGGGAGGGTGCATTCTAAGGAATCAATTGTAGGTAACTCACCAAGTGAAAACATTTCTGATATTTGGCCATCTTTTATAGAACTTATTTATGTATAAACATGCAAGGGTTAAGATCACACCAATTCATTCATTATTTAAAGAAGTCAGCCTTAAGAAGAAAATCCCATCCGTTAAACACATGGAGTCCACGGCTTAGCAATGTGTGTCACAGTGACAAGGTTGCTGTCATCTAGAACTCTCTCTGACGTCTAGGAAGGCCAGTTGTGCAAATTTCTTTTTATGCTTCCTTTCAGTTGCTAGCAGGGTTTCACCTCTTACTCTGCCCCCATTTGTCTTAAATTTAGATCTACAGATCTTCAGAGAGGCTGGAAGAAGCTAGTTGTACCAAAGGGACCAAAACTTGGTCTGCAAGATTCCTTGGTCATGTACAGAACGAGTAAACTTCAAATAGGTAGTTTTCACATCTAGTTCTCACAGCATCAAGTAATTGCTAAGTGCCTACCAGATAGCCACAATTCCTGTTTATAGTGTCCTTGGGGGAATACATGCGTTTAAAAAAATAGAACTGTGATAAGAGCTACTAAAGAAAAAGCTGGTGGGGTATGGTGGTTCATGCCTGTAATCCCAGCACTCTGGGAGGCCAAGGTGGGCGGATTGGTTGAGGCCAGGAGTTTGAGACAGCCTGGTCAACATGGCGAGAAACCGTCTCAACTAAAAATACAAGAATTAGCCAGGCGTGTGGTGCACGCCTGTAATCCCTGCTACTTGGGAGGCTGAGGCACGAGGATCACTTGAATCTGGGAGGTGGAGGTTGCAGTGAGCCAAGATCCCAGCACTAAATTCCAGCCTGGTGACAGAGCAAGACTCTGTCTCAAAAAACAAACAAAACAAAACAAAAACAACAACAACAAAAAAGCACAGGTTGCAATGTGAGTGTAGTAGAGAGGATGATGATTTGCCTCTGAATTCTTCAATCTTTAGGCCTCCTTTACCGTCAACTTCAACAAAAGGCATCAAAGATTTTCCCACAGATGATCTATATGATATATTTTTATTTTGTTTTGTTTTGTTTTTTGAGACAGAGTCTCGCTCTGTCACCCAGGCTGGAGTGCAGTGGCACAATCTCGGCTCACTGAAACCTCTGCCTCCCAGGTTCAAGCCATCCTCTCATCTCAGCTTCCCAAGTAGCTAGGACTGCATGCGTGCACCACCATGTCTGGCTAATTTTTTAATTTATTTTGTAGAGATGGGGGGTCTCACTTCATTGCCCAGGCTGGTCTTGAACTCCTGAGCTCAAGCGATCCACCTGCCTCGGCCTCTCAAATTGCTGGGTTGATATGCGTAAGCCACAGCACCCAGCCAATCTATGCAATATATTTTTAAATATATATTTTATAGAAGTATATTACTGAACATTAAAAAAATAGAAAATAAAGCTATGCATAGCCTGCTATTCTAACATAGCCTGCAAAAATCCCTTTGAAGTTTTACTATGTAATATAAAATAAGTATCATTTATTGCATACCATGTGCAATGCCCTGTGCTAAGAATCTTCTATACATAATCTTATTTAGTCCTCATAACAATCCTGTGATGTAGATACTGTACCATTATCTCCATTTTTACATGCACAACTTGAAGATATTGCTAGTTTAGTTCCAGATCACTGCAATATTGCTAATATTGTAATAAAGTGAGTCACACAAAGTTTTTGGTTTCCCAGTGCATATAAAAGTTATATTTCTACTATACTGTAGTCTATTAAGTGTTAAGGCTGGGTGCAGTGGCTCATGCCTGTAATCCCAGTACTTTGGGAGGCCTAGGTGGGCAGATTGCTTGAGACGAGGAGTTCAAGACCAGCCTGAGCAACATGGCGAAATTCCATCTCTACAAAACATACAAAAAAAAAAAAATTAGCTGTGTATAGTGGTGCACACCTGTAGTCGCAGCTACTCAGGAGGTTGAGGTGAGAGGATAGCTCGAGCTGGGAAGCTGAGGCTGCAGTGAGCCGTAATTGCGCCACTGGACTCCAGCCTGGGTGACAGAGTGAGATCCTGTCTCAAAACAAACAATCAAATCTTACTGCTAAAAAATGCTAAGGATCATCTGAGCTGTCAGTGACTTGCCATCTTTTTGCTGGTGGAGAGTCTTGCCTTAATGTTGATGGGTGCTGACTGATCAGAGTGATGGATGGTAAAGTTTGGGGTAGCTGTGGCTATTTCTTAAAATAAGACAACAATGAAATCTGCCACATCGATAGACTCTTCTTTTTATGAAAGTTTTCCCTGTGACATGCAGTGCTGTTTAGCATTTTACTCACAGAAGAACTTTCAAATTTGAATTTCTTTCAAAATGAGAGTCAATCCCGTCAAACCTTGCTGCTGCTTTACCAACAGTTCCATAGCTTATGGAATACTCTAAATCCTTTGTTGTCATTTAACAGTATTCACAGCATCTTCACCAGGAGTAGTTTCCATCTCAAGAAACCACTTTCTTTGCTTATCCATAAGAACTAATTCCTTGCCTGTTAAAGCTTTGTCATGAGATTGCAGCAATTCAGTCACATCTGCAAGCTCCACTTCTCATTCTAGTTCCCTTGCTATTTCCACCACATCTGCAGTTGTGTCCTCAACTCAAGCCTTGAACCTCTGTGGGAAAAGACTTGTTGCCAGAGCAGTCAGAATACACAAAACATTGGAGTTCGCCGCTTTACATGGGTGTGGTTAGTGGCACCCCAAAACAATTACAATAGTAACCTCAAAGATCCCTAATCATAGATAACTGGAACAGATGTAATAGTAATAAAAAAGTTCAAAATATTGCGAGAACTACCAAAATGTGACAGAGACATGAAGTGAGCACATGCTGTTAGAAAAACAGAACTGATAGACTTGCTAACCCAGGGTTGCCACAAACCTTCAATTTATTAAAAATACAATAAAATGAGGTCTGGGTGAATAATAAGGAAACTGAGTTTCCCAGACATCATACAGCTAGCTAATAACAGCTGGTATTGAAAACACCTGACTTTACAACCACTAATTTTATTTATTTTCTTTTGAGGCAGGGTCTCGCTCTGTTGCCAGGCTGGAGTGCAGTGACACGATCACAGCTCACTGCAGCCTCGACCTCCTAGGCTCAAGCGATTCTCCCGCCTCAGCTTCTGACAGCAAGTGGGATACCAAGTTCCCACATCATCTGTCGCAGGGCTAGGCCGCGCCAAGACCACGTGGCCAGTGGGCGCAGGCGGCTGACTGCCAGTGCGCAGGCGCGCACCTGCTGCGTTGGCTAGGGCCCCGCGCCCCTCCCTCCCTGGTTCCCTTCTGCCTTATCACCGCCTTACCCCTCCTCCATCCTCTCGCCACTTCCAGGCCCCGCCCCGGCTCTCACACCCTGTCTCCTCCGTGCAGTCGCCCGGGAGCTCTACGGGTGTACTGCGTGTTGCTGCGTCATCGCCAGTGGCCGGTTTGAATGAGACTCTCGTCGCACCGAAGCCGCCGCCACCACCGCGCCTCCGCCTCGGCCGCCGCCACAGCTGCTTCTGGTCCTAGTCCCTTAGCCGCCTGTGCCAGGCCCAGCCCTCCTGCGCCACCGCCTCCTGCCGCTTCCAGCCATGCCGCTCTACTCCGGTGAGCCCCCTCCTGGCCTCGCAGGCCGCACACCGGCCCCGCGCTAGGCCTCTGCGTAGGCCTGGCCTGCAGGGGCGGGCACCGGGGACTGGCCGATAGGGGCCGGGGTGGGGTGTGCGAGGCCGGCGACGCGGAGACGACCCTGGCACCATCCCCTCTCCCGGCTGGGTCGTTTCCCCCTTTCCCCTGCGTGACAGGGGAGCGCCGTTCTCCTGAGCCACCGGTGGGTGGGGGGAGTAGAGATGGGGAAGCCTTTCAAAGTCGTGACTCTGCAGAATAGTTTCTGATGCTGCCCTGGTGTGCGGTGAACGTGAGGGTGTGTCCTGGGGCGCTGCGCACCAGGCTGGAGGTGCAGGACGATTCCTTTGAACTTCTCAGTGGTTGTCGTGGAAGGGAGCGGGAAAGAAGGGGAGGGATGGAGGGACCCGGGATGGAAGGTGAGGCTTCATCCTTTCGGGGGTTGCCAAGCGGCGTTCGCTACCCTTCGTCGTCCTTCACCCTCCTCTTGCTCCTTGCCTTTGTTCGACCGCCCCTTTGGTACCAGTTTTAGTTTTGTCCCGAGGCAGATTGTAAACCTTTTTGCTTCATTTTCATTTCATCAGACGTTGTATTGGATTTCTG